ATTAAGTGATTTTATTCAGGTTTGCAATATACGCGGTTAAATAACAACAAAAAAAATGACTTTGTTATTGTTTATGGTAGATAACCAAATCAGATAACTTGGGACCTTGGAATTTTTATTTTCCATATCTGGACTTATTGTTTTTATTCGGTTTTACATATTAAACAGAAAAGAAGACCAGGTTATAAAAAGGAGTGTTTGTTTTTCATGCATACACTCCTGGAAAAAATAATTACTGCAAGTTAAATAAAAATAATTCAGAAAAAAATTTAAGAAGCCATAAAAAGTATGTCTAAACTACATGGAGTTCATTGGGATTTGTTAATAGACTTTCATTATTCTTTATGTATTTTCCGGTAAGCACCAAACTGACCCAGATAAATTAGAAATGTATTGCAAAGATACATTTCTAGGCATATGTAGCACCATGGCCTACTTAAATTACACGGCCTGATTTGTTGCATTTTCCGTAAAAAATTAAGAGGCCAGTTTTTTTTACGGCTTAAGTATAAAAACATAAATTTTGTTATGGTTAAGAGTCTTTTTTGCACTATAATTGTTTTATTTTTATTTTATTATAATGGTTTAATATTAGTTAGATTTTCTTTGATTACTTAAATTTTTTTGTGCTAGATTTTCTGTTAACTGATTGCTTGCTTCAGTTTATTCCAATAAAAAAGAATACTGAAATAGGCTTTCAGATAGCTATATCAACACATATTAACATGCTACTAAAAATAATCTTACATATTGCTAAGAATACCCACAACTCTCCATTGGAAATAATTTTAAAGGTTTGTAATTTTGTATTTATTATAATTGCAATTATTAAGTAGAAAACTTTTCTTTAATTTATTTACACTGCAAAACAAGGTTTTGCATTTATTATGCTGCATGTGTCAAACATACAACAATTAAAATTTAACAAATCAGGCTATTTATTTACAGTAGCCAAGAAATATCAGACATACCAACTGTTTTGGAGTCAATAGCTGTTAATAAAATTCTAATTTTTTTCATTGCCAAATAAATGGTTATCATTCTTCTTTATTTAAATGGTTTCGCAGTGGTAAAAAATACAAATTGAAAAACTATAATATATTAGAAAAATCATTGACAAAAATTTGGTATTAAGAGATTATTTGCTTCTTGTGGGTAATGTGTACTTCTAAAAAGCAGCCCAAAGTGGTAAACATTTTAATAAAGATTGAGAAAACAATCTTTATAAAGAATTTGTTTTTGTTTTTATGATTGTAGGGCTTCAAAAATTTATTCTTATGTTTTGAAATAATAACCTAAAGTTTACATAACAGGTTTATGTTTGAAAAAAGAAATTGATGAGTGTATTACCTCAATGCACCAATCTGAATTTAAGATAAGAACTATTGTTACCGATAACCATTTTACAAATGTTAATGCATTTTTATAGTTTCATAAAGCATATACTGGAGATGGAAAATTATTAATTTATCATTTAGTTTAGAAAGGGTGTGTTTAAAATATACTTGTTATTTGATAAACTCGGTTTTTGTTTTTTTCTTCTTGTTGAAGTTACTGCTGATTACATTGTAGGGAATATATTTCTTAAAGTTTATTAAAAGATCACTTATTAAACAAGCAAGAAAAAGCAAGAAAAATTAATTATCAAATCACATATTTTGGTAACAACAAACATATTGTCAACATCGACAATATGTGACAAAACAACTGCAGCTACAACTGCTAAGTTAGAGTTATTTTTCTGAAAGAAATAACGCAGCACAATTATCATTGTTTTATAAGTTATTTATCATACTTAATTCAAAGCAGAAACTTAATTCATCTAATCAAACTCACCAATGCTGCTTTGAAAGGTGATAACAAACCCACACTTTATAGAGAAATTGCAAATTGTACTGAAATTTGATCAAAATAAAATTTGATAAATACCTGACATTAACCAAACAAACTTCTTGTGCTCTAATTACAACACTACACGCATATGTATTTCTTATGCATGATTTCCTTGAAGAAGGCTTTACATTTGTTTATAGTTAATTTACAAAAAGATTCTTTGGAGCTAAGTTTTATTAAGTATAGTTAAATGCCCAATAGTAGACTTTTTGTGAGCCTTTTAGAAATGTGCATAAGTAAAAAGATTTTGGCAGATTTTCTCAGAAAATATTTACCAGAATTTTGATAATCCTTAAAAAATATTATGCAAGATATTGCTTAGTTGTCTACATAAATACTAGTGTCAGCTTTCTGAAGATAGCACAAATATATATACTAAAGCAAGTAATAATGGTAAAAATTAACAAAAAGATTTTGATGTTAAACTTATGATCAATAAACATTACTTTATAAAGAGAAGAACCTATATATGCAATTCAACCTCTGTCTAATTTTATTCGTCATCTTTTTAGTATTTTATGTTATTTCTCTTATTCTAATAAAACATTGCAGTCATTCTTTTTTAATTAAAAATATGCGAAACAAATTTTAAAGATTTGATCTAGCAGTTTCAATTTTACTAATAAAAACCACCAAAAATGGGAATCAAATATAGATCTCGTATTGTATTGCAAATTAATATAAAAAATATTATTACATTTTTTATAGTAATTTGCAAAAAAAAATTACATATTCATTTAAAAAAGATCAAGTAAAAGAATTCCAAAAAAGACAAAATAAACATTTCTAGCAAAAATGTATTTCTTCTTTTTATTTCAATTATAAAAAATACAAAACTACAAACCTTTTTTTTGCTCAATGGAGAGTTTTAGGCAATCTAAGCAATATGAGAGATTATTTTAAGTAGCATGTTGATATTGGTTGATATAGTTATCTGGAAGCCTATTTCAGTATTCTGTGTTGTTGGAATAAACTGAAGCAGGCAATAAGTTAACAGAAAATCTAGCAACAAATTAATGTAAGTACTCAAAGAAAATCTTACTATTATTAAACCATTTTAATAAAATAAAAATAAAACAATTATGGTGCAAACAAGACTCTTAACCATAACAAAAATTAAGTTTTTATACTTAAGCCGTAAAAAAAACTGGCCTCCTAATTTTTTACGGAAAATGCAACAAATCAGGCCGTGTAATTTAAGTAGGCCATGGTAGCACAATTTAAATAGTATCCTATGCCTGCTGGAATGCACAAGATGATTGTTTATTCACACTAGTTTAAAAGAGACAAGCCAGTTCTAATTTGCCTATTATCTGAAGAAGCTCAGGAAAAGTAGAAACAATTTGGTTTTTAAGTTGAGATGTCGCACCTGTTTCATTGTTGTTTTTTAAAAACTTAAACCCTTTATAGTTATGTATTTTTAAAGAACTCAGTTTAATAAAAAAAAACATAGAAAGTCAGTTTACATTTAAAACCAAAAAAACGCGTTCTTTTTAAGTTGTCGTTTGTTCTTGCTGCGCCACCATATGCATAGAATATTCATGTCTACGCAATTATAAAGAATGCGTCCTTGATAATTTTGTTTAATAATCAACCAGAAAGTCAAACTAATGATATCAGTATCATGGAAATAAATTTTATCATGTACGTCAAAAAATAAATGTAAATGCAAAAAGCATGTCACATGTTATTTTATGTGTCCTTGGTGTGTTTGTTTAGAGTTGTTTTATTCTACATATCGCAATTTGTAAAATTTGTAATGTACCATAAATCAAGGAAACTATTAAATTAAGTTAAATATTTTCATGTAACCTGTGGAGTTTGTTGTGTCTAATTTTTATCCTTGTGCCATATGTTGTTTTTACTTTTTGTCCATGGTGTACTTATCTACATGTTTTTGCAACCAATAAATATGTAGGAAATCTATAATTCGTCCTCTAATTCGTCTTTCGAAACACCTTTTAACTATATATTCTAAAGAATAATTATGTTAATGCAAGGACATTAATCGTAAGCTAATAGGCTAGGCGTTCGTGGTGTTCTACATCTGTATGATAATTTCCATTTAACAAAAATGTGTCATACATGCTGGGGACTATTTATAGTTAATAGAAAATTTAATATGTAATAGGTATCACATGTTTAACATGGGTTTATTCATTTGTACTTGGTTTCGTGTTATTGGTTTGTCCTTCAGAGGTATAATAATCAGCATTACAATAATAGTTATTGTTAACCAAGGTGTAACGAGTGTTCAACAAAAACTTCAGCTATTTAGCTTTATAATTACTAATGCAATAAATAGTGGTGCATCAATTTACTTCAAGAAAATACTTTAAAGTGTGATTTACCTACCACTGATTTGTTTTTTTATTTTTTATTTAAGCAATGAAAATTGAAAAAGATACAATATAATGTTAGTTTTTAAGTGAGAAATTAAAAATTACGTTTGAGGCAATATATGGTGCATCAGAGTATTGATTTGATTGAAATGTAAATAGAATAATTACTTACTCTGAGCTGTAAAATAAAAAAAAAAAAAAAAAATAACAACATAAAACAACAAATAAATCAAAATAATAATTGTAAGTCTTATAAATAATTTTTTAAATGTAAAATAAAATTAATATATAAAATTAAATTGCCTTGGTTTTCAGTGAACAGTTTTAAATTTAGTTAACTAAACAAAAAAATCATTTTCAACGATAGATACCGTGTAAAGGTAAGCCACAGCTCTCACAAAAAAATGTTTGCGAGTCACAACCCAACGGGCATTCGAACATTTAATCAATCTTTAGGTAATGTTCGTTCTAAATGTTTAGATTTAATTTAGTTTCGATTTAGAACGTAGGTCAATTGAATGTTCTATTTAAACCATATCTAAATGGTTTGTTTTAAACGCTATTTAAGCTCCATCTAAATCTTTCGTTTAAAACTTTGCGACGTTAAACTTTATTTTACGGCGCTTATTTAAAGAAGCATAAATAAATACAAAATATTGATAAAGGAATCAAACTTTTCTTTTATTTAAGCTGCTTTAAATAAGCACCGTAAAAAAAAGTTAAACGCTGAACGCATTATCGATATACTCATAAACAAATCAAACATTAAACAAATAATTTTTTAAGTCTAAGATACAAGTAAAATCATTTTATTTATTAATATATGCATTATCGTATTCGTCATCATGATCGGCTCCATAATGATCATCGTCATCTTTGTTTGAACCGATTAAGCCTCTTCGTCTTAAGAATTAGAAAAAAGGGCATAACCTTTCCTATTTCCACCTATACGGAAGGGAGCCATTCTAAGATGGAAATCAATGCACGATACCGTATTGCGGATACCGAAGTCATACAATCTCTTTTCTAAAAATAATAAAAATAACTCAATAAACTTCTTCATTCTATTCATTTAACAACTTTATAAATCCATAGTTTTATAGATTATAGAAGATTGTACAATAGTAGAGTGTACATTGAGTAATTATGGTAACAATTGACAGTGAACTTTTCTTTAAAACTCGGTAAACTCTGGACAACTGCAGTGCCCTTCCTAAACATAGTAATACAATGTTCTATTACTTTATAACAATATCTGTACAACATATATATATATATATATAAATATATATATATATATATATATATATATATATATATATATATATATATATATATATATATATATATAAAAAGTTTGATAATTCCTATTATTCATTGTCTTGAGGAGCAGTAGGCACACTTAGTATCCTATTTAATTGAAACTTTCTATTTAATTGAAAAGTTGTGGAGATATCGACAGTTTCACTACAATACAAATAAACATGTAAAAATAAAATTGTAATTCTTACACTTCTTAAAGTTTAAAAACTAATCAACAAACAAAATAATTAAAATTTATATATCAAAATCATATATATGTACTAACACGCAATTCAAGTAAAAATTAAGTATTATTTGATCAATCCATTAGATTGTACTTTGATATAGTAGTTATGTGGATAATGGTATTTTAGAACTTAATTTTCAGGCTTACAGAAAAGGAGACTTTGCAAGTACTGATGGGTTAGCTATTATGTAAATAACTATATAGATATATTATGTATACAAAGTTATTTTAAATAAAAGTTTAGTAAAACATTGTAAATTTGATTTTAAAAAGTCTATCCTAAAAGGATTACATTGCTAAATATGTTCATAAGTCATAAAATTAACAGGTTTATCTAAAAATAAAGGAGTTCTATATAAAAGATATAGATTTAGACATCTTACTTAATTGGTCCATTCTAGAGTCTTTTGGTAAAGTAGTCACACTTAATTTGAATAAAGATATTTTAGAATGCGATTTAATGCTTGAGACAAGGTGGCTGTGGAAGTGGTGATTATTTAACTGAAATATAAATCTGAGTGTATATTGTCTGAGATATGTTCATTACAATTATTATTAGTCTTCAAAGATGTAAAGTAGGACAACTTACTTGCATAATCAATCGAATATACTTGCAGTACCACATCCATAATCTTTTTGTATAATTAAACATTTGTAACTTTTTTTTTATACTTGAATGCATCATGCATGCATGCTATACTATAATACAGCATGGATGAATAATGCATGCAAGTATTTTTGGCACTAAGGTCTTCACAAACTTTATTTCATGTTTATTGTAACATCAAATTAGCTAACCTGCCAATATTCGTACCTTTTGCATTAACATTAACATAAAATTCTTCCTCAACTGAAAAATAAAAACTATTTTACTATACCGTAAAATCACTATAACCATAAAAATGGTTAATCATTTACTAACTAAAGCTTGATTCTTTTTTTTTTTTACATAAAAGTTAGAACAAACTTAATAAAACTATTATTTTTAAATTTATAATTATTACTATTTGCTTTAACAAGGGATTTATTCAATTTTTAGTGCAGTTTTTCCATAATTAACCATTTCTACTGTAATTGCATTAAACTAGTAATATAAACTCTGAAGAAATTGAAAAAAAAATAATTTAGATTAGAATAATGCACAATTATGGACTAATTATATGTTATTATTTTCAGTTTATATTTTATTAGTTTCTATATAAACATTAACAAATTAAAATGAAACCTTTAAAAGAGTTGTATAATCAGTACTTTTGCGCTTTTTTGATATCTGCTGATTATCAATGCTTTCTTCAGTTTCTGATATTTAAAAGTTTTGCAATCCTCATAACAATCTGTAAAAGGAATAACAAAACATCTTATCCAAAGCAATGACAAATAAATTTAAAAAGTAAATTATTTAACGTTTTGTGAATAAAAATTATAATATCACAAACTAAAATAAAAATTCAATAAAATATCAAGCTTTTGGTTCTTCCAACAGACTGGCGATATGACATTTTGCTAAAATATTAACACTAATTTGGTTGAAGGTACATCAACACATAACATTAACTTGTAACTAAACTTGTTAAAAGCGTTTTAAATAAGTTTAGTCGTCTAGTTTTTTAGCTTTTTTTGCAGACTTTAGTTTTCCTAATTCCTAGGGATGATATACTTATACATACTATATATTTCAACCCGTTAAAATTTCAAGCTTGGTAGGTCTTTCATAACATAATAAAATAAAAAAATAATAATGCTATAAATATTTCAATAGCTTTTAGATTTAGAGCATAAGATAAAAACTAAGCAATTTGAACTCTCTTTTAACTAATTTAAACTTTAAAGACTCGAACCAATCATCAACGTACCTTTTAAATATAACAGGAATTACCTTTCATCTTACATTAATTTTTAAGCGTTGAATTTTTATAAATAGCTTTTCAGAAGCTTGAGCAATTAGATTATGATTTAAAAGGTAAATATCTGACAGATGTTCAACTATTAGAATCATATCTAAAAGTACAGAGTTAGCACTTTATCTTGTGATTACTAAAAGAATACCTATTAGTTTTAAAAATCACTGCAGTTTTTATTTACAGAATGATCTTTACAGAAATAGCCATAAACTTAATTATTATTTTAGGAAAATCTAAATTTTAAAGTAGTCAAAACGTCACAAAAAATCAACTTACCACTTGCACTGCTTTATTTGTTGTTGCAACTGACTGGACTGTATATAAAATATTAAATGAAATTAAACACACAAAACTTAACAATAAAAAATATATTTATGCGGATTTCAGAAAATTATGTAATATAGCTATATATATTATTGTTCAAACCATGTTAACTTTTCTACTAAAGAGAAAATAAATGATACAATATAATAATCATATCAGACATAAGTAAATTTATTTTCTCTTTAGTGGTTATCATATAGGAATATGAATAATACTTAAATTTTTAAAAATATTTTTTAATTTACATTAAAAGTTTTCACTAAAACTGAAGATCCATTATATAAATATTTCAACCTCATAATTTTTAATTGGCAGTGACTGCACTAAAAGTATAAATATTATAACATTGCTATACCGATCAATATAACATCTATCATAAAAAAATAGATGTTAGGTCTTAATATAAACAAAAAATAATAATTTTATTTAGTTATTTAAAAAGTAGCTACGACTTAAAATGCATAATTTTCCTCTAAAACTTTTAAAGAAAATTTATGCATTTTAAGTAATATTTTAGCGTTGTTAAAAACCAAACAAAAAAAAAACAATTTAAGAAATAGTTTAAAAAGATGCTGACATTGCTACTTTTTTAAAACTACTGTTACTTTTTTGAAACTGCTATTTTAGTAGCTATAACTAAAAAAAAGAATTATCAAAATATATTGTTACTGTACTTAAAATTACTTTTAATCGCTCATACAATATTATCGAAGAACTTACAGGACTTTTTAAATCCTTCATTAGCCACAATATAATACTAAAAACAAATTTCTTTTATTTTTTCTAAACCTTTATTACATAATTTAAGATTAATAAGAAACTCTAATTTTTAATCATAATGAAAGATTCAAAATGTCCGACACATTTTGTAAGAAACTAATTTAATTAAGTTAGTTCCGTTCGGAAACTGTTTGATTTAGCTTTTCAACGCAAATTAAATATTCAGAACACGTTTAGAATAGGTTCCTAAACGTTTAGATCGACGTTAATGCCATCTAAACGTGATCTAAACCAATTTTAAACCAACAAATGCCCGTTGGGAAAACTTTGAATAACCTTTAAATTAGGTACAGCAAAAAAACCTGCAGTACCTATTTTAGGTATCAATATTTGTGGCAATATATTTAAAGCGAAAAAACTTATTTTATCTGTTTGCATGTCACAATACTAGCCTTACTAATTTGCAAGCCAAAAAACATGTTGTTCTAAATTTCGTAGACTAAAAAACGTGCGGTAACAGGTTGCAAGCCGCAAAGCTTTTAATATCTGTTTGCAAGCCACAAAACCTGCCGCATTAGTTTGAAAGCTACGACATCTTTGCTACCCAATTGCAAGCGACACTACTTGCTGCATCTATTTGCAAGCATTCAGCATGCGAGAGGGAGTTTATTTCATGCAATATTTAGCTCACAAAAACAGACTTTTGAAGGAGAAATTTTTTTCCTATTTGATTACCGAATATTGTCTATATTTTTTCATTACCGACTTTTATAAGTGGTGGTTTTGGCGTATGAGATTTCAGAGCCATCTTTATAGGGGATAAATGAACAAAAACAATGAAAATTGATACCAGAATGTTTTTACCTTATTTCTTAATTACTAAAAAGCAATGAATTATTTTTTTAGATAGAAAATAATTGTATAAAATCATTAAAAGACCATTTCTTATCTACAAGTTGCACTTGACACTAGTTACGGGTTAGAATAAATAAATTTAAACATTATCCTCTTTTGCTCAAAAACAAAAGTGAAACGCAAAAAGACGTTTTGTAATGAAAACTTGCTTGGATTTTACAAGTATATAGCTTTTAACTACTACCTCCTTAACTATAAAAGACTCAGCGCACCCTTTTATCATTTCATTTATTTTTTACAAGTATATTTTAAATATGAGAGTATGCAATTTAGAGCAGAAAAGTAGATGCAGTTATTTAAAATTGAATGCAGTATCGAAATGAAAGTTGCCAAAAATGTGGTGGCTGTTAAAACAAATTTTGTTTAGCCTGGCGTTAACGTTGCTTGTTAATTATCAAAGTATAATGGAGAACAAATTTGTATTGCAGCAGTTTTGTTTAATAAAGATTCCGCATATCTTTAATTTCGAATTGTTGGTTTCAAGAATATTACTTTTAAATTGTTGGTTTCAAAAAATTTTTGATATGTTCTTTCATTGTTGTTATTAATAAAAGACTTTTATGAAGCAAAGAAAAAACATCATGACTTCAAAAATGGCATTCTCAAAGTGAAAATGACAAAGTCTCTATGTCTTGTCAAACTCAACTTATTTAATTACGCCTTGCTATTGAAAAAATGGAGAAAAACTTCTAAACTAAACGAAACAAAATTTCAAATCATATTAGTACCATTTTGGACATAGACAAATGGACCTAAACAGAACGTATTATGGACGTCTTGCGCTTATTGGGTATCATTCACCTGTATCAAATATTAGTTGATTAGTAAGAGCATTATAGTCGATTATATAGATTGCTCGATTTTTTTAAAGTCGTCGTCTTTGACTTTAGTAATAATTGACTTTTTGTCAATTCAATTGAAGTCCATAATAACATTTATAAAACTATTATTAAATTCCTTAGAAATTATTTTCTTATCAAAAACCGTTTAATAGAATAAATTTAAATAATAATAAATAAAAGGTACAAATAATTATTAAAAAGAACACTTTAGTTAGTAATGCTTCTAAGCTAACGTTCCCTTTACTTATGCTACTTAGCTTTTCAAAAAATATGAGTTGCACATTAAAAAAAAAGCGATAATAAATTAATAAAATAATAATTCTCGTAAAAACAAAAAAGCTGTAAAAACAAATTAAGAACATGTCGTTCTATAAGACTGAGGGATCGTTCGTAACGTACGCAACGCTAAATTTATTACGAAAAACAGAAAAAGCACTTTTCATGTAATGATCTTTTCTCGCCCTACGTTACATAAAGCTGTTTGCATTCTTATTTCAGAAACGAATTAATTAGTCAAGTTATATTTGCTAACTTAGTAGTTTCTTTTGTTTAGATAGCATTAAAAGACATTTTAATACAGTAGACTTATTAAAGACATTTTAATGCAGTAGACACTTTAGTGCAGAAGAATTAACAAAACTTTCTTTTAGTTAAATCTAGATAACTATCAAAAATTTTTATTAAGTAGACGAACAATGCCTGCTATTTAGCCATATGTCTTTTTTTAATTTAGAATTAAAAAAAAACGAAAACAGATATCAAGCGATTTAGATAGCTATGCAGATTTACTTGCGCATACAAAATTTAAAAACTAGGCAAATACTCAACAACTACATTCAAGTACCACTATTTTCTGGTTAAAACTTGGAAAAGCTTATGTTTTTAAATTTGCTGGTACGTATGCTACCTTGCAAATTCAAAAAATAACCGTCTTAAAAAACCAAACAAATAAAGATGAATAGTAAGAAAAAAGAAAGGAGAGAGAGAGAAGGAGGGCAAGATGGCGAACGTATTGAAAATCATTGAGTTTTTGAAAAGCTGTCAGTCATAAAGCAGTAATGCTTTGTTAGCATGTTTGTTTTATTGTAATGATTAAATCCCTGCATGAACGTTCAGTTTGCAAATAGAAAACTTTGCAATAAAATTAACATGTAATTTTCAAAAAGGTTTGTCGTCTGGTCACGGAAACGGGGAAAGATAACTTGTTATGCGTTTTCTGCCTTCAATTTTCTGACGTTTCAAAAATTACCAACAACTTAAACTAAAGTTATACAAATTTCAAACACTTTGCATAAAAATGTTATTTTTACACCACCGTTGCAAGCTCAAAATTTTTCAAATACTCTATTTGCTCCAAAAAATAGAAGTTAATGGATTCTAATCTGTTAAGGACTGACCACAAGTTCAAAACTTAACACAATTTTAGAAAATGTAGTTTCTCATTGCAACAAATGCTGAGAAGTTTTAAATACAACATTATACAATATCAACATGATTTCAGCATGATTTACGCAAAACTGTTTTTAATAAGCAAAAAAAGTTCAAGATGTTTATCTCTAATAAAGAGCAAAATGAATCCGTTTCAGATCTTTAACGACATTCAAGTGATAGCTTTTGGTTTCCTGGGTAAAAAAACATAAAATATTTATAGTTATTCATACTTAACAAAATTTAGCCTAAATAACATTACCTCGATTTTATTGAAAAACCTTCACTTTAACAGTTCACATCAAAATATATAGCAATTTTTTTTAGCTTGAGAGAATAAAATAAACTTTTTCTGGCCTCAAAATGAAAAAGTAAGAAAAACAGAGCAAAATTTAAAACGTCACTTCCTAGAACATAGTGCAACATTAAAGTGATTTGCATTTCTACTTAACATGAAGTATCGTATTTACAATCAGACAATTTTTCGCAAAAATCGAAAGCGGAAAAAAGGGCATAAGACGTATAAATGTTTTTGTTAAACCTGTGTAGTTTTTTTAAATTAATTTATCAAAAGTTCAAAAAGTAAATCGGGAACAAACATTTTATGTTTTTAATCCAAATTGCAAAATATATGAGCTTAACATCAAAATGTCAAATTTTTTTCTAACATTAAGAAAGGATTTGATAGGGTACCTCCTTATAAATGACCTGGTTTAAAAGGGCTCAACTAAATTAATAAAATTGCATAAATCTGTTTAAAATGAGATGTTATCGTTTTAAAGTTTACGTCAAAGGGTTAATAAGTTACTTTTAAATAATGAAAAATAAGATAAAATTACAAATTTAATTTGAAAAACAATTGTTTGGAGCATTTGATTTGTCACACGCCAGTAATCTTGCTATCTATATAAAGACGCCTAATTTGGTAAACCTATGCAAATTTAATAAACCATTTACTACGAGAAAACGAACATCGCGATTCAGTTAACAGATAATAAAATGGTATTAAAAGATACATTTTATTCTCTTTTTGCGTGTTTACTATATTTCTTTTAAGTATTTCAAAACGAGTTTGACTTACTTAATGAAGTGCGCTTTTTTTTCTTAGAAAGTGATATTTGGTGTTGTTTTACTATTCGTGGTTACTCATGGTTTAGGTATCAAAACTTTTTATTTTTTAATTTGTTCTTTTATTACAGATAATTTTTTTTTTTTTTTAACTAAATAACTTAAAAAAATATCCATAACAATCTAAAACATGTATGCGTACCTGTAAAAAATATAAAACGCTTTTACCGGTTTCAAATAATACCAGCAAATAAAGATAAGTATCCATCTCAAGATGGATCAATAAAAAATCTCATTCTTGAAAACGGGGAGCCTGGTACCACTTTTTTTTTTTTATATTCTTTTTACGATATTTGTCTAAGGCATTTAAATCAGGCGTATCAAAGAGTCTGCTTTTTCGTTTTGTATTTTAATAATTGAAAATGTACATCGTAAAACTTTTAAATGCACTATTTGTTATTACTCTTATAACTAAACTAATTTCATAAAGAGAACTTTCATTTTTTTTGCACTTTTACTTTTAATGAATTATCTAAATGAATTCAAATGGATTTTATTTTTCGCATTTTATTTTAGGTGAATTTTTAGCGAAAGCCTTACTGGAATCAAAATGTAAGATTTATCAAAATTATTTAAACTTTGCAAGCTGAATGATATTATTTTTAGGAAATTTTTTGTTTTTGACTGTTTACTTATATTTAAATTTCTTATAAAGATAGATAATAGGTAGTTTTTTCTTTACTTTAGATTTTGTGAATAATGAAGTTGAAGAGACACTGAAAAAAAATAACTTGGTTGCGGTTTTGTCAAAGTTAGAACAATCATTTGATATTTATTTCGATTTAAAACTCAACAGTTTTTCAGACGGATTCAGAAGTGTCATTCATTTGACTATAGGAGAGGATAATTCGAAATACGGTGATCGAATTCCTGGCATTTGGGTTTCTAATCAAAAGTTACTCGTTGGTTTTGCAATAAACAATAATAAAAATGAATATTTTGAATCCGAGCCACTTCAACGAGGCGAGTGGATAAATATTCATATACGTCAACACGCTGAATCGGGAAGAGCTTCTTTTACTTTATATATCAATAACGAAAATGTATATACTGTACAAAACTTAAACCCACAAGTATTTACAAATGTCCAAGTTTATGCTGGAGATCCGTGGTATGAAGTTCAGGATGGCTCTATTAAAAAGTTCAATGTCACTAATGGGTATTTAGGTAAGTTTTCTTTCGATTTCTTCGCAACAGCTTACCTTCAGCTGCCTTGCTCGCCAAAAGCACAAGGCAGCAGATCGTTAAAAACAACTAATGTAAAATTTGCGGAAAAATTGAGGACAATCTGCACATCTTTGCCTACTGTCCTCCCTCTGTTACAATATGGGAATACTTTAAACATGCATATAACTCCTTGACATCCCAAAACAACTTTTCTCTAATAAGTTCGATATTTTCGATTGAAACTGCGAATTTATCGGAGAAAAACCCTACCTCGCAGCTGCTTTTGACAATCACTCAAACCATCATGAGTGAAATATGGAACAGCAGATGCCACCATTTGTTTAACAATTCAAAAATTGACCCATGGCAGTGATCAGGATAATTATCAGAAATATCAGAAATATTATTACTTTAAAATATAATTACCATGTCCGTAGAAACACTACGGACATTTTCTGTCAAACTTTTTGTATCAATAATTTTTTATGTCAAATAGAAAATGGGAACCTAAAACTAAACATATGAGCTGAAAAATACACTGGCTCATAACAAGAACTAAATGTTTAGTTAAATGTTTTCTGTTTTCTACAAAAATAATTTTTACAATTACTACAAAAATATTATTATTTATGATTAGACAAACACTGCCGGTGTCATGAAATAAATTAACCCCCATAATAAATTAACTCCCGTCGCGTAAAAAGTTATCCGGGGAGTTAATCTATTTCGAAATAGATTAACTCCTCTTGAAATAAATTAACCCCTGTCGGCGAAACAAATTAACTCCCTCTAATATTTTAACTCCCTTGGAACAATTTATACGAAATACGGAATAAGTATTTTAACTTGATGTTTTCCAAATGTGTTTGTTTTTAAATTTGTTAATTAATATATTTTAAGCATTCTTAAATATTTATATGTATATATATGTATATTGAATATTTCTACTTTTTTATACTACTATTCGACATTTATATGTATATCGAATACTACTATCTATCGAATACTATGATCTATAATTTCTACTAATTTATTGCTCTGTTTTTTTAAGAACATTCAGCACTCTATTTTATAGAATACATTTAAAATTATATATATATATATATATATATATTATATATATATATATATATATATATATATATATATATATATATATATATATATATATATATATATACATATATATATATATATATATATATATATATATATATATATATATATATATATATAATATATATATATATATATATATATATATATATATATATATATATATATATATATATATATATATATATATATATATATATGTACATATATATATATATATATATATATATATATATATATATATATATATATATATATATATATATATATATATATATATATATATATATATATATATATATACATAAGAATAAAGAAAAGATATACGCTATGCGAGTCTAGATTATGATGCATAGCAGGGAAACATATGCAATAAAGATGATGTCCACTACTTAGAAAGAATTGAAAAGGCAACAATCAGATAGATGTGCGGTGCAACTCTAAAAACAAGAAAAGAATGTGTGATTTTATATAGAGATTAGGAATAGCGGTGTATCTGATAGGGTGTATCATTGAAGATTAAGTTGGTTTAAAGGTGTATAAATTATGTTGGTGGGCAATGCCACTGTTACTTACCGGACATTTTAATTTTTGTAATGTCACATTTTATGATATATATTTTTTTATTTTAACAAGTTATATGTTTATATATTAATCATTCCAAAATCATTTATTTGTTTTCCTGAATAACGAAATTTCTTTCAATTATTATAACTATAGGAATTATAGTTGATTATATGCTGTTACTAAAAAATCATTGCATTAAACCTACATAAACTGGCTATGTAGCCAGTAATATTTAACCTACATAAACTGGCTACTTAAATTAAATGAGGTAGTTATTATTCTGCGTAAAATTATTTAAAAGATTGTTTTAGCTTGTTGTGGACTCAAAGGAACAATGACAATAACTGAATAATTTTTTTTTAACTTTTTATTACCTAAAATAATAAGAAATATTATAAAACAATAATAATAATGATAAATTTCATCACATTCCTCCCGACATTTTTAAGTTTTAAGTAGTCTATTGTTCAAAGATCCAACCGATTTGGAGTCGTGCGCTTTCAAGTTGATCGTCTTGGTAAATATCATTTTCAACCTTATTGAACATGGCAGGGCAAGACTCACTGGATGTGCAGAAAGATACAATGACACAGTCTCATCTGTTTTTTTTTAACTAGTGTGCAGTCTTATTTGGTTCTTGTAACAGGTGTGCAGTAGATTGTTTCGATGAGTTTAGATACCGTATTTAACTGTAAGTTAACTGAATGTGAGTCTTAAGTTAATGGTAATAGAAACCATAGATTCACAACCGTTGGCATGCTTAATAAGCACATACTGTGGGTTTGCTTCCAATAGGAATACCTCATCTACGTCAAATTTATACTTAGATTTTTTAACATGTTTCTTTAATAACACCTTGCCAGGTTGTGTAAGCTATAATTGGATTGAATCTTCATTAGTAGAACATCTTTGATACATAAAGAGTCCGTCATGAGGAGTTTCATTAGTAGTGGTTTTGATTTTTTCACATTTTTTGTTATTGTGAGTTAAATTCTTTGCTTTAGCTAAAAAGAAACATTTTAAGGGTATATTCGTGATCCTTTTGCATCTTTCCACAGATTGTCAAATTATCAAGATAAGCAAAAGTCTTTCAATATTTCATCAGCAATAAAATTGTCCACTGTTTTTTTAAATTGAGTTACTCCGTTTGTCACACTAAAAGGCATACACATAAACTGATGTAAATCTCTGTCAGCTTTAAATGCAGTATACAAATGATATTCTTGTTTAATTGGGATCTGGTGATAGGCTGATTTTGGTGCTCAAGTATCGATATTGCAAACTTTTGTTTACAAGTTCAAGTATTTGAGGCATCAAGACATATAAAACAATTAATAATTTGACTATAGTTTATGACTAGGCACTTTTTTAATCTCTTGTTTGTTACAATGACTTGTGATCTTCATGGTGATGTTGAAGGTTTGATAATTCCTTCTATGTAAAGGTATTGTATTTCAGAGCTAAAAAATTTTCTGTCTTCAGCACTGTAGAGGCAAAATTTTGAAGCTATTAGTTTACAGTCAGATGTCAGGTTTTCAAACAGATTCAGAAGCTTTACATTTAATGTAGTTTAATGTGTTTATCTAATGCGTTCAAAGTCCAAATACAAGAGGTACGCTCACTCCACCAAAATTAGGCATTAGATTTTTGTGCTGGGACGGGAAATCAATACTAAAAATAATATCAGCACACAAATTGTCCATAATATGTAGTCTTACATTGCGATAGTTCAAGTCATAAATTTTTATATCAAATAAAAAAATTCCAACAATAGGGGTTAACAAAGTTGATGCCATTTGAACTAAGCTGTGAGTTGATAATACTTTGAGAGAGACATAACCTCTAATGTTATGCTTCTAATGTTATTTTTTAGAAGTCGTTGTTAGATTTCATTATAAGTTATACCACTGATAAAGGACATGACAATGTTTTCTTAAGGTAACACATCTAAAAAATATTCAAAAGTTTTAAACCAATGTTCAAATTTTTAGTTACTTGATGGTGTATTCGGAAGTGATTCAAAATGATTCAAAGCTTTATCCTTTTGTTCTTTGTAACATAATGAACTACAAGTTAATAAAATTGTTGTGGACTCGAAGGATAAATGACAGTAACTGAACTATTACTTTTTAACTTTTTATTAACTAAAACAAAAGAAGAAATATTAATATAACAACAATATTATTAATGTTAAATTTCATCACATAAATACTTATTTTTGTATGTTAAATCAACTTAGTTATTGTTACTTACAGAGACAATTCTACCTTTTCATCAAAATGTGGATTAGCTACCATTTATATAGAAAGTATGAGGCATGACTTTAATTTAAAATTTAAAATAAAAACAAAACACACAAATAACATTATTAATCAAAATTTAAAATTTTTAAACATATGGCAACCCAATGATTATTTGCTTTTTTTTTATTATTATTTCATTTATTTAACACCCAATGTAAGTTACAAGGTAAAAAAGAATTTTTTTAATTTTTTTAATTTCTTTAAATTTATTTAATTATTTTATCAAAATAACTCATTTAAGCATGGAATTGATCTAGTGTATTGTAAAAATAGTGTTAATGTTCTTAAAAAACAGAGCAGTAGTAAATTAGTATAAACGCTTATTTAATTTTGAATGTCAAGGAAAGTTAGATAGGTGTTTATACTACATTATATGTGTATATATATATATATATATATATATATATATATACACATATATATTATATATATATATATATATATATATATATATATATATATATATATATATATATATATATATATATATATATATATATATATATATATATATATATATATATATATATATATATATATATATATATATTATATATATACATATATATTATATATATATAAATATATATATATATATATATATATATATATATATATATATATATATATATATATATATATATATATATATATATATATATATATATATATATATATATATATATATATATATATATATATATATATATATATATATATATATATATATATATATATATATATATATACGTATATATACTAGTTAGCTATCTAGATAGCTAACTAGTTTACTATATAAACTCTGTAATCTCAAAAATTATTGCAAGAGTAAGTTGCACTGAAGTTCGTGCAATAATATTATTATTATTTTGATCTCCTTTTTATTTTCACAATAATAAAAAAACTTAGCAAAAATAAACAGTTACAAAATAATTTTATTCAACGCTAACTAAAGATATATATTAAGACATAGTCATAAGAAATATATATTATTCTTATGACTATGATTTAAAAAATATATCAAAATAAACTATTTACGCAATTTTGTAAAACTTATTGTAAGCTAAAATATTTAAAACGAGAATTAAAAGGGCCTAACTTATTACGATGGGGGTTTAAAATATTTAGGCCTCCGGTTAATCCATTTCGCCATATTTTAAAATAATTTAACTCCCGGGGTTAATTTATTTCAAAATAAATTAACCGGGGAGTAAAAATGTTTTAACCGGGAGTTAACTTTTCGGGGATATATTTTATTTTGCGTCACCGGCCCTTATATAAAACATTATTTGCATGTTTCTTTGTAACTTTTAGTAACTTTTAGTGGTATTTGTGTTAAAGTCCTGTACCTTATTATTATTTTACTGTACCTTATTATTATTTTATAAAATTTTTTTTTTCTTCACTTAAAATAATTAATTCACCTTGATCAACTTCGTCTAAAAGCTTTTTCTTATTCTCGATTTCTCTCCGCACAAAGGCATTAGAAAAAAAAAAAAAACAACACAAAAAACACAAAAAAGTATAAAATAAATAAATACAAAAAAATATAAAATAAAAAAACACAAAAAAAAAATAAAAAATTTATAAAACAAAAAATATATATATATATGTATATATATAAAGTAAAAAAATTATTTTAAAGGAAAAATAGACATATATATTATATAATATATTCTATAAAATCAATGTTAAAACTTATGTAAAAAATTTTGCTTTTTCATTATTATGAACGATTAAATATATATATATATATATATATATATATATATATATATATATATATATATATATATATATATATATATATATATATATATATATATATATATATATATATATATATATATGTATATATATATATGTATATATATATATATATATATATATATATATATATATATATATATATATATATATATATATATATATATATATATATATATATATATATATATATGTATATATATATATATGTATATATATATATATGTATATATATATATATATATATATATATATATATATATATATATATGTATATATATATATGTATATATATATATATATATATATATATATATATATATATATATATATATATATATATATATATATATATATATATATATATATATATATATATATATATATGTGTGTAAACAGAAATAGTTCTTTAATTGTGAAGAGAATTTATTTAATTATAACGCAGAAATAGTTTATAATATTTATAAATATTTATTATTTTGTAATGAAGAAAAAAAAAAAAAAAAAAGTTTTCTACTTTTTTGTGTAACACTTTTTTGTTAGATAAATCCTAAAGCTCTTACACGAAAGCTTTTTTCTTTACTTTAGATTTTGTGGATAATGAAGTTGAAGAGACACTAAAGAAAAATAACTTGGTTGCTGTTTTGTCAAAATTAGAACAATCATTTGATATTTATTTCGATTTAAAACTCAACAATTTTTCAGATGGATTTAGAAGTGTCATTCATTTGACTATAGGAGAGGATAATTCGAAATACGGTGATCGAATTCCTGGCATTTGGATTTCTAATCAAATGTTACTCGTTGCTTTTGCAATAAACAATAATAAAAATGAATATTTTGAATCCAAGCCACTTCAACGAGGCCAGTGGATAAATATTCATATACGTCAACACGCTAAATCGGGAAGGGCTTCTTATACTTTATATATCAATAACGAAATTGTATATACTGTACAAAACTTACACCCACAAGTATTTACAAATGTCCAAGTTTACGCTGGAGATCCGTGGTCTGAAGTTCAGGATGGCTCCATAAGAAAGTTCAATGTCACTAATAGATATTCAGGTAAGTTTTTAACTTTTATGTGTAACACTTATTTATTAAGTAAATCCTGAAGCTCTTACACAAAAGCTTAAACGACTGCTGCATTTAATATAAAGATAGATAATAGGTGGCTTTTTCTATACTTTAGATTATGTGGATAATGAAGTTGAAGAAACACTAAAGAAAAATAACTTGGTTGCGGTTTTGTCAAAATTAGAACAATCATTTAATATTTATTTCGATTTAAAACTCAACAATTTTTCAGATGGATTTAGAAGTGTCATTCATTTAACTATAGGAGAGGATAATTCGAAATACGGTGATCGAATTCCTGGCATTTGGGTTTCTAATCAAATGTTACTCGTTGCTTTTGCAATAAACAACAATAAAAATGAATATTTTAATTCCAAGCCACTTCAACAAGGTCAGTGGATAAATATTCATATACGTCAACACGCTGAATCGGGAAGAGCTTCTTTTACTTTATATATCAATAACGAAAATGTATATACTGTAGAAAATTTAAACCCACAAGTATTTACAAATGTCAAAGTTTACGCTGGAGATCCGTGGTATGAGGTTCAGGATGGCTCCATTAAAAAGTTCAGTGTCACTAATGGATATTTAAGTAAGTTTTCTACATTTTGTTTTACACTTTTTTATTAGGTAAATCCTGAAGCTCTTACACGAAAGCTTATTCGACTGCTGCGTTTATTATAAAGATAGATAATAGGTGGTTTTTCTTTGCTTTAGATTTTGTGGATAATAAAGTTGAAGAGACACTAAGGAAAAATAACTTGGTTGCTGTTTTGTCAAAATTAGAACAATCATTTGATATTTATTTCGATTTAAAACTCAACAGTTTTTCAGATGGATTTAGAAGTGTCATCCATTTGACTATAGGAGAGGATAATTCGAAATACGGTGATCGAATTCCTGGCATTTGGATTTATAATCAAATGTTACTCATTGCTTTTGCAATAAACAATAATAAAAATGAATATTTTATTTCCAAGCCACTTCAACAAGGTCAGTGGATAAATATTCGTATACGTCAACACGCTGAATCGGAAAGAGCTTCTTTTTCTTTACATATCAATAACGAAAATGTATATACTGTACAAAATTTAAACCCACAAGTATTTACAAATGTTAAAGTTTACGCTGGGGATCCGTGGTATGAAGTTCAGGATGGCTCCATTAAAAAGTTCAATGTCACTAATGGATATTTAAGTAAGTTTTGTACCTTTTTGTTTTACACTTTTTTAATAGGTAAATCCTGAAGCTCTTACACGAAAGCTTAAACGACTGCTGCATCGGTTTTATATTGAATTGTTTGTTGTTTTTTTTCATTGTTTTTATTTATTTAGATGAAAGAAAGGAATTGAAAAAGGACGCCAAACGGAAAAAGGCGTTTCGCTTAAATTATTAATATATGTCAACGACTTGTTCTTTTCATTTAAGTTTGTTGTTTTTGAAGTATCCAATTTTTGATGTTATGAATTTGTATTTTTTATTTCAAAATACATCTTTCGCATTGCATTCTGTTTAGTGTTGTATTTTAAAAGAATTACTGTATATTTCGATGATTTACGCATCAAAATAAAAGCTAATAGAAAAATAACAAAATATATATGCAAAATATTAACTTTTCGCTATTTGCAAAATACTAAACGTTCTTAAAAACATTCCTGCCGATACCGTTAAGACAAAACATCTAAAACTATTTGCAAAGAACTTTTCTTCTTATTCCACTATTGAATCTTATGGACATTTTCTTCCTTCCATTCCAGTCAAACAGGTTGACCCATTGTTAGACATTCAAATCACTCCGGCTTCTTTTGCTAAAGTCATTTCTTTATTTAACTCGTCTACAGCTTGTGGTCCAGACAACATTCCTGTCACAGTCTTGCAGATTTGTTCTCCAGAACTTTCTTCAGTACTCTCTAAACTATTTAACAAGTGTTTGACTGAGTCTTGTTTTCCTGCTTGTTGCAAAATGGCATCTGTGTTTCGAAAACTCTGGAGAAAATTCTGACCCCTCCAATTATCGTCCGATCAGTATTCTTTCTGTTATTAGCAAGGTCTTAGAGTATTTGATCAACAAATTCATCACATTTCATCTTGAGTCAAATAAACTACTGTCAGACAATCAATACGGTTTTCGATCCTCTCGCTCTACGGCAGACTTGCTAACTGCTGTAACTGAAAGATTTTATCGTGCATTAGATGGAGGCAGTGAGGCTAGGGCTATTGCTCTCGACATATCTAAAGCTTTCAACAAAGTTTGGCATGCTGGTCTTCGCCATAAGCTTGCTTCATATGGTGTTTCCGGGTAAGTTTTTGAGATTATCAAGTCATTTCTTTCTAACCGGTTTATTAAAGACATCCTTGAAAGCCAACACTCTTCTTTTTTTTCAGTAACTTCTGGAATTCCCCAAGGTTCCATCCTGGACCCTGTTTTGTTTCTTATCTACATAAAAGATCTTCCTGACAACCTTTCATTCAAAGTAGCTCTTTTTGCTGATGACTCAACTTTATACTCCTGTCTTGACAAAAAGTCTTCTCATATCGATCGCCTAGAACAAGCAGCTGATCTTGAATCCGATCTCACTTCAGTAAAAGATTAAGGTTCACAGTGGCTTGTGAAGTTCAAATTTAACAAAACCCAGTTGTTTACTGTTTACTGCAAACAACTACCCAACTTCTGACTCAATCAATCTTCAACTTTTCAAGTCTTTTGTCAACCGTTTCCTTGCTCTATAACTCTGTTCCTTTTCTTCCTAGTGACTCCAAACTTAATAGCGGTTGCTTGCAGCCTTGTTGGATGTGTATGCAAATTTAAAAAAAAAAATAAAAAATAAAAAAACAGTTACTTAGAGATCATCTACGATGTTCTTGCATAAAGCCTAGCTCGAGAAAATAATAATGAATAGTATTTCTCAAGGAAAAAGTAAAGTTTGTAAAAATTGAATAACTGTGTTTTTTCGGCAAAATATCTCTTAACAAATATTTCTGAATAAGCACACCAATATCTATGGACATGAATATTTTTAGCCAATTCGAGAGTGCCTTTTATTGCACAAATATTGGCGAAAAATCAAGAGGTTAGAACTATTATGTATTACGTTCCCGACTCAAAAAAATTGAGTTAGAATAATTTTTAGACACTTTGTATTTTGAAATGAACGTTTCTCTCTAAGTTTTCAGAAAAGTCAAATTTGTACTTTCAATTCTAAATTCTAGTTTGCAAAGTAGTTTCTAATGTCATTTGTGGACGCACATTAGGCGGTCGAATTTGGATGTTAATAGCACGTTTAATTTTAAAGATACGTCAGTAAATCCAATCTGAACCTAATATAGACAAAAACATTTTGTTCCGTCCTGTCCGAACAAACAATTTTGGTTTATATTTGGTCTTTTGTACGTGCAATGAACATAACCGTGCAAATTATTATACGACTACTTTGTTGATAAATTTATACATTTTCATTTGTATATATATTACTCAAAACAAATTTCGGGTAGCGCACGTTTTTTGACTTATAAATTAGGTACCACAAGTTTTATGGCTAGCAAATCAGTACCGCCAGTTTTGTGGCTTTCCAACAGATACAAGAAGTGTTGTAGCTTAATACATATCACAGCAAACTAAGCCCTAAACCTTAAGTACAGAGCGACAAGTACTACAATTAATTTAGCAAAATGTCAAGGCATATGGTTGGGAAAAAATAAATTTGCAGAAAAGAAACAGTTCCTAGACTTTACCTGAGACAAAAAAATCATTCAAAAGCCTCGGTGTACTTTTTTGCAACACAGAAAAGTTCACTTACAAAATGAATTGGAAAGAACCTTTTATTAAAATGGAAAGCACTTTAAAGAAATGCAAAAAACATAAATTATCCCTTAAAGGCAAAAAACTAATAGTTAATACAATAGTAATCCCTCAAGTTGTACACTTGGCTTTTATTGTTCCTATTCCCCATAAAAACATTTTATTTAGAATGGAGGCTAAAATAAACAACTTTATCTGGGGGGATAAAGTTCTAAGTCTAAGTAAAGAAAAAACACATCAGAAAATAAATGGGAATCTTGGAGTGGTTAACCTTACAAGCAAACTCAAAGCAATACAATTGCATTGGGTTTCAAAATTTCATAATGAAAACTTAGAAGGCCCGTGGAAGGAAGCCATGATCCACATGCTCAATTCTTATAGAAAATTAAATTTAAATAAATTCATTTTTGAAACAACTCCAACCCAAATTAAGGTACTCCCGCCTTTTTACAGACAACTATTATTAAATTTTTGTAAAACTAAACAAGATAACAGTGAGCCTGTAAATGAAATAGAGGAAATACTTAGTCAGTCATTTTTTTTGATTACAACATTAAATAGAATAAAAATAACTTTTAGACCCCAGAAAAGGTGCACATTAAAAATTATATTTTACTTGTAGCGGACATAACTAAAACTTTTCAGCCTGGATTTTTAAATTCTTTATCTATTGGTTTGACTGAGATTAAAATGAACGTTAATATAACAGCACTCCCAAAAAATTGGATAAATAAAATATTAAACGATCGACAAAAATATGATTTTAAAAAAGCGTTTTTTTATATATTGAAGAAAAAAGAAAAGTATGAGTACAAAAGACTCACAGTCGCAACACTTTATAAAATTCAAAACAAACCGAAAAAAATGACGGCTTATAAGTATAATCTCTTGGCATCTAAAGGATGCCAAAGTATGCAAACCATCAGTGAAAACGAATGGACATCTTTTTTCCTAAACAATAACAAAAGAAATACAAATAATAAAGCAAATGAAATCTAGAAATTGCGCATTTTCTATTACTAACTAATGAAAATAGTCTTTTTAGAAAATTTAGAAATGACAAAACTGAAGACGAAACCATATATCATATGATGTATAAATGCGAAAAGGTGCAGCCTCTAATTTTGTTTTTATTAGATGTTTTGGATCAAATTTATCCAACGGAATATCCTCATTTAAATACTTTGAAGTTTGTTTTGTTTAAATACGGGGTAACGCGGGCAACAAAGAGTTTAGCTATATTTTATTGGAAACTCTTGTGTTAGAAATATATTTTTATAGAAAGTTTTTTTGAAAAAAATGTTATAGTGTAAAGTTTTTACTTAAAAAGTTTGAATATAAAGTTAAACGCTTGCTTGAAAACGAGAGGTTATTAATAATTATTCAAAATGTATAAAACAAGTATAAAGACGAATTAAGAAACATTTTTAAAAAAGGAGTTTCAAACCTAGTCGCTGATATACATAACTATTTTAAAGAATTTTTTCTTTTTTAATATTTAATTTCTTTTTTTTTAAATTGTTTTTTCTCCCAGAGCTTATCCTTAATTATATATTTTTATTTACTATAAATGTCATAAGGAATTCTTTTGTAAAACAGGTCTTATATTTTTTTTTTTTTTTAAAAGAAATTTTTTAACCATTCTTTATAAACGTAGGAAAAAGAGCTATGAAAGTGTCAATAATTAACGACAAAATATGTTTTAAAACTAATCGCTAACACACGGAACTATCTTAAATAGTTCCCATAGAATTTTAATTTTTGTTTTTTCTTTTACATCTTACTTTCGTTTTTTAATATATGTGGAAGTTTGTTGCTTTAGTTCATAAAGAACATCTTTTTAAACGTTTTTTTTGTTTTTCGATTTATTTTAAACCTTGTATTTATTGTTATTGTTATTATTGTTATAACATCGTTATTTATATAACATCGTTATTTTATGTTATAAAATTTATTATCGTTATTATATATTGTGAAAATTAGCATTCTATTTATTTTAATTAGATATTATTAACATTAGTAGGTGTTTACTTTATATTAGTATATTTACTATTTGTAAACATCCTTGAATGTAAAACCTTAATTCAGAAATAAATGATTGATTGATTGATTGATTAATTTGCTTATAAGAAGATGAGTATTGCAAGGCTCAGGTAGTTCAGATTTATACATAACTTTCCAAATTCTGTTAGTAGTGTGATGCGTTATTCCTTGAAGATTCACAGAAACATTGTACTTCGATGTGACAATACCAGACTCTGCATTTAAATCACTTTTATCTTTCAAAATAAATATTTAGGGCGGATATAACCTGCATCAAATTTGATGCTCTTTGACGGACAATTTGATAGTCATTCCTATTCATTCTACATTAAAGCTAATGCATCTTTTGTCAGTTCTAATCGTTCTATCATTCCTACTTATTCTAACATTAAAGCTAATGTATCTTCTGCTGGGTAGCATTTAGGCATTGATATATTTCAGGATCCATCAGTTTTACTGTTAATCAAATGTTATAAAATATTAGCATTTTTTAAAGATTTATAAACGATTTTATTTGTCTACCTGTATACAGGTAGACAAATAAAAAGTGAAAAAAAAAAAAAGGAATGAATCATTTTTTTTTTTTTTTTTATTTTTTTAATAAATTTTTCGAAGAATCTTATATGATTGTATTTCGGATAATATTGAAAAACCAATATACAAAAGT